GACGGGGACATTTAATCAACTGAGCCACCCAGGCGCCCCGACCTAAAATTAAAAATTATTTTAGTTCATGAAATCTATTTTTTTTAAATCTTATTTATTTATTTATTTATTTATTCGACAGAGATCACAAGTAGAGAGGCAGGCTGAGACAGAGAGGGGAAGCAGGCTCCCCGCTGAGCAGAGAGCCCCATGTGGGACTTGATCCCAGGACCCCAAGATCAGGACCTGAGCTGAAGGCAGAGGCTTTAACCCACTGAGCCACCCAGGCGCCCCTCATGAAATCTATTTTAAAGAGCAAACAAGATGCTTATTACTGCTAAAATATTAATATTATCAAGAACAGTTGTGTTTTGTTTTTTTTTTTTAAGTCTATGGAACTCCTATGGCTTGATGGGAAAAACTTTATAGAGATCCAAATAATTTAAAATCAAGAATCTCTAGGCTCATTAAATTATTGGAAAAAATTTATTTGACAAAGGATTTTACCTTTTTCCTAAGAAAGATTATCCAAAAAGTATCAAAAATTATATAAAATTATAAGATACATAAAATATGTTATATAGAATTATATATAAGATATATAAAATGTATCTTTAAAGTTGCTGTTGAATATAAGTATACTGATGATAGGAGTAGACATCTGAAAGTTCTGAAAATGTAGTTTGATGTTCATTGGAATTTGAATCTCAGGTATGAAAGAATATAGTGTTAAATAAACCTGGACTAGATCAGTACTGATTCATGTTCCAGATTTTCAATGATGTCACACCTTGGCTTTTCACTGCCAACAAGGGATGCCTTAAAGTTCTTTCCACACATAAAATGTCATGATACGTCTCCAAATACATTTAACATTGACTGAAGGAATATAATAGGTAATTACCCACAGCAACCCACATGAAACACCTTTAATAATGCCTTGCTTTTAGAAATTCTCACTTGCATGTTGTGAAATTATGTGTGTGTGTGTGTGTGTGTGTATGCTTTTCATGGTAGGGAAACAATTGTATTTACACATACAAAATGTTAAAGGTAATGCCAAATCTAGATGGTCTGGGATAACAGAGATTTCTTGCTGTATTTGAAGCTTAATTAAAAAGCTGTAATTTATTTCAGCAATAATTTCTTTCTTGGCTGTATGAACCATATATCTGGTAAAGTATAAAAAGGAACTGCATGTTTTATTAATCAAGATGGCTGGAAAACAGAATAGTGTACATGGTAGTTTCCACTTGAAGGAAAGTCAAATGGAAAGAAATATGATTCTTTTAGTATCTAAAACCATAAATTTTTGAGTAGGAAGCAGTATTTCAGATTGTATATTCAGTACTTCCAACATATGAAAAATTCTTATGCCTTATGCCTTATTCATAATAGAATATGTGGTGTAGATTGTCGTCTTTGTGGGTTTTTCATATTCGTCTTTATTTTATCCTGAACACACACATGAGATTTTTGGATCAGAGACAGATTATTATTACTTACATAATAATAATTGTGCTGGTTCCTCTTGCTTCAGTTCCTATCTCTGGAGAGACGTGATGAGAACCTTACATACAACAGGGTCTGTACTGTAAGTGAGAAAATGAGTCTAGGCATTTTTGTAGGAAATAAAGCTGTCCTCCCCTTCTAAAAGTAGGGAGAAAAAAATACTTGGCTCCTTGAAGACAAGATGTAAAGAATCCTTGTTCTCTCTTCTAACTCTTTTATAATGTAAATAAATCTCTCCGGAGCCAGAGAAGCCCATATTTCCAGCTTTATAACTTAGAGATATCTCCAGAGTCCCAGGCCTCACACCAAATCGAAATGAAAACACACATCTGCGAAGTTAAGTTTATCTTTTGAGCTCTAATTATTTATGCAGTTCTAAATTATCTCTGTAGCTTGCTTTTAGTCCAAGATCTCAAGGTTCCATGGAACTTGCTGAGGAAGCCCTAACTGTGCAGAAACACAAAAATATTTTCTCAACACCTCACAGTGTTCCAAAACTAATTCTTCCTTCTGCCTGTGCAACACGGCTGCCCAGCTAAAAATCTCATTTCCCCAATTGCTTTCAGATAGATGTGGCCTTGGGGTAAATTCTTTCAGTTATCCTCTAGCTGCGAATGTATTGATTTCACCTTTATTCCCAAAGGATATTTTCACTGGGTAAATAATTCTAGGTTCACATTTCTTTCAGTTCTTGACAAATGGTTATTTCCTTCTGGCCTCCATGGTTTCTTTTTTCCTTTTCCTTTTCCCTTTCCTTTTTTTTTTTTTTTTTTTTTAAGATTTAAAAAAAAAAATTACGTATTTTAGAGAGAGTGCATGAGCAAGATGAGGGGCCGGGTGAGGAGCAGACTGCCTGCTGAGCAAGGAGCCCAGGGTGGGGCTCAATCCCTGGACTCCAGGATCTGGACCAGAGCTGAAGACAGATGATTAACTGACTAACCAACTGAGCCCCCAGGTGCCCCTGTCCTCCGTGGTTTCTGATGAGAAATTCGCTGCCATTTGGATATTTGTTCCCTTATGTCTAGTGAGTTTTTTCTACTTTCAAGACTTTTACTTTACCTTTAGGCTTCAGACTTTTTTTTTTTTTTTTTTAAGATTTTATTTATTTGACAGAGAGAGAAAGTACAACCAGGGGGAGTGGAAGGCAGAGGGAGAGGCAGAAGCAGGCTGGTTCCCCACTGAGCAGGGAGCCCAATGTGGGGCTCAGTCCCAGGGCCCTGAGATCATGATCTGAGCCAAAGGCAGCCACTTAACCAACTGAGCCACCCAGGTGCCCCAGGTTTCAGAAATTTCATTTGAGTGTCTCAAACTTATTTGAGTTTATATATCTGGAGTTCACTCAATTTCTTGAAACTGTATCTTTATGCCTTTCACTAAATTTGGAGAATTTTCAGTCTTATGTTCATTGACTACTTTTTCAGGCTACATTTTACCCCTTTTGGGGGATATCTCCAATGACACCAATGTTAGATCTTCTGTTACTGTTCTATAGGTTCTTGAGAATCTTTTTTCCCCAGCCTGTTTTCTCTATTGTTCAGAGTGGGTCATATCCATTGTTTTATCCTCAATTTCATGAAAATTTTCCTGACATCAAAATTCTACTGTTGAGCACACCAAGTGGATTTATTTTGCAACGATTTCTATTTGTTTCTTCTTTATATTTTCTATTTATTTGCTGAGACTATTTATTCATTTGTTTCAAATGTGTTTGTAATTGCTCAGTGACATATTTTTATAACAACAGCTTTAAAATCCTTATCTGATAATTCTAACATCTATGTCATCCCATTGTTGACATCTGTTGTCTTTTCTCATTCAAGAGAAAAGTTCTTGGTATGATATATGATTTTTCTATGTATCCTGGATATTTTAGCATTATGTTATGAGACTCTGGATCTTATTAACTCTTTTGTTTTTGCGGGCCTCCTCTGATGCTGTGCCAGTAGGAGAAGGGTATAAAAATCTAGGTGGCTTGTAAGTCTTCCAAGTCATTACAATCCACTGGAGAAGGGGGTCAAGGAGGATCACCTTGTTACCATCAGGTGGGAGTAGGACTTCGGAGCCCCCACTCTGCTTCTTCTGTACCATTCCAAAAGACAGGGAGAGGAGAGCCTCATTACCACCAGGCAAAGGTGAAAATCTAGGCTTGGCACTCAAGAGTGTTTGCTGGTGGGGGTGAGGGTGGAGGCATGGCATTTCCCATGCAGTTTGGCTAGAGTTGTCCTCTTCCTGTCCATCTCTTTCCTCATTCGTTGCCAAAGGAGAGCAAGAGAGGGGAACAAATTTTTTTTTTTTTTTTTTTTTTTTTGGTCTAAGTGCATTGGCATTTCTGGGTTGTGGGCTCCTCCAACATTCCATCCAGGATACATGAGACAAAAAGAAAACCCGGGGAGGGGTGCCTGGATGGCTCAGTCGTTGGGTGTCTGCATTTGGCTTGGGTCATGATCTCAGGGTCCTGGAATCGAGCCCTGCATCCAACTCCCTGCTCAGCAGGATACCTGCTTCTCCCTCTTCTTCTTCCATTCCCCCTGCTTGTATTCCATTTTTCGCTGTCTCTCTGTCAGATAAATAAAATATATTTAAAAAGGGGGGAGGGAAGAAAACCCAAGGAATTCAACACTATGCTCTTCCTTAAGTCTCAGGCTCTCTGGATAGTCTATCTCATTCTCTCTATTAGGGTCTTTGTATACTCATTTTATATATAAGGTCCAAGGTCTTGATCATACCTAATGGGAGGAATAAGAAGAAATACATCTGCCGTATTTTTTCTGGAATCAGGAGTCCAGTTCTTAATGGAAGATACACTGCTCTTTCCCGTGGGTAGCTCTACTGCTCCCACCTGGAGGAAAGGGAGGAATTTTGCCAACACAGAACAAAATCTATTTACCTCTATTCTTCTAAACCCGCAGAAGTATCCTTCCCCAAGGGCCTCTGCTGCTTGATATGCCCACTGTTCACTAGAGGAGCAAGGGAGGAGTATTATGAAAAGTAGTGCTAAGGAATGGGGAATAGAAAACCTGTTCCGTGGTCATTTATCAGCATTTCCTTTCTTTCTTTCTTTCTTTCTTTCTTTCTTTCTTTCTTTCTTTTTTTCTTTCTTTCTTTCTTTTTTTTTTTTACTTCTTTACATCACTACTTCCCACACTTCAGATAATAGGAAAAGGAGGGGCGTCTGGGTGGCTCAGTCATCAAGCGTCTGGCTTCAACTTAGGTCATGATCCCAGGGTCCTCTGAACGATCCCTGAACCTGCTCAGCGAGAAGCCGCTTCTCCCTCTCCCTCTGCCTCTGCCCCCGCTGGTGCTCTCTCTCCCAAATAAATAAGTAAAATCTTACCAAAAAAAAAAAAAAAAAAAAAAAAAGGGAAAAAGAAACATGTGTTTAAAACATGAGCTTTAAAGGTTCACAATTAATGTGTTACATACTTTTTCTTCCCAGAACCCCCATTATGCAGTAAATGATTGAAGAAAAAAAAACTTTTCATTGTTCATTCTAGTTTTTACTTAGATCTTTATTAATTGGACCTGTAACTTCTCCCTCTTGGTTACAGTGTCATAGGACCTCTAATAACTAGCAAAAGAAGGAAATTGTATGACAGGTTCTGAAGTGGATATTGACACTAATGGTCATGAAACACCAAACTTACATAACTACTGACATAATGAATAATGTTAAGCGTTAATCTTCTTGCTCTGTAGCTCCCTCTTGGTTGAACCAATAGCTCTGTCATAGGTTTCATGATTGAGTATGCCTGGAGTTGAGGTATTAAGTTTTTGAAGACTTCCCTTTTCTTCTACCTTTTGTATTTTCTAAGATAGGCTGCTGGTTGGTCTCTTTTTTTCCACAAGAGCTCCTCTTGCAATATGAGTATTGAGGTGGTTGTTAAGTGCTTTCTTATTAGAAGCATCCAGGCCTCTGTAGAATTTATCTTTTTTTGGCAATGTACCCTCTCTTTCTTGCATTTTTGGCTTATGCTCTACTTCTGATAGCATCTGGTTTTTCTTGTCCTGTTCAGAGTTTATCTGAATTGGCTTCTCTTGCAGAGTTCCCTCTTGCTGATCATGGACTTCCTTGAGAAACTCTATTCTCTGCTGCAAGATCTGACATTCATTTTCCAGCAAAGCTGCAATCAAATGCAATGAATACGTGTCATGTTCCAGTTTCTTCACTTGTTCCTCCAGGTCATGCTTAGCTGACATGTCGTGATTTGGTTGAGTTTGGAAATGCACTCCATTATCTCTAAGAGTTTCTTGTATATCTTTCTGAGATTTCTGATAAGATCTTATCAGTTCACTGAGCTCAGTGTGTTGCATATTCCAGTGTTCTGCTTCCTGCAGTAACTGCTCCATGTTGTTCCTAAGTTTGATGTTTTCTTCTTGAACAGGAGGGAATCTGTATGTTGCTTTTTCCTCACTTAGTCGAGTTTCCTTAAGGGCTCTATTTTCTTCTAGACAATTTACCAAATCCCTTCTAAAAACTGGTACCATGTCGCTGCAGTTCTGATGTACCAGGGTCATCTCCTCGTTTTTTGTGTTCTGTTCTTTCTCTAGGTCTGAACTACCAAGCAGGTTGTTCAATAATACTTTGTTTACCTTCTCAAGTTCTCTGATTTGTTCTTTCAGTTCTGATACATTCTCAGAAATACTGGTTTCCTCAGATGAATCTTTTGCTTCTGTGATCTCTTCACAACTTGTCACATTTTTAATTAGCTCTTTAATTTCTTTTAAGAGATTTTCAAATTTCTGTGTAGTCTGTTGTTGAGCTGCTTGACGGCCACTATTGTTTAGGGAAGGGAAAGAACCCCAGGAGACAAAGGAAGGTGATTCAATCTCAAATAAGGCAAAGATAATCCTGGAGTTCGAAGACTCTTGATTGAGATCAGGAGTAGGCTTAAAAGTTTTGGAGAGGGTGGATGTGTCCATCTCAGCTGAGTTAGCAGGACTGGTGATTAGAGCATGTGGCAAGCAGAAACACCTCAGAGATTCCAGGAAGAAAAGGTGGTGGTCCTCCGTGCAAATGGGTAGAGAATGCGGAACTAAGCAGAAGTCAGAGACCACAGTTAAGGTCTGAAACCAAGGAGATGATGTTTAGGTAGAAGGTGACATCTCAGATGACCTAGAGGATTGGGGGTGGTGAGAAAGGGGACCAGGAGCTAGGACTCCATCTCTCCTTCTCCAAGCTTCTGGTGTTTATTCCTGACCCTAGCAACCAGGTCTTTATTCTGTCACTGAACTCTTGTAGCCTATCTCCAAGCTTCTGTTTCTTTTTGTCACAATGGAAGCCTCTTAAACCCCTGCCCAGTGACCCATGAATCAAAACCAACATTGATCGACTTCTACTCTTCCCCCCAGAAAGATCTTTATGCCAGTCCTTTCCCTCCCTACTTTTCTAGGTTTTTATTTAACTCATTTTAACTGTATTTGATGACTTCCCTACATCTCCACTACTTACAACCCCAAACTTAATGGCAGTATGTTCTTTCTACCACCAAAGTGCATGGTGTGAGAAATCCTCCCTGGACTTCCCATAGCAGCTGAAACTTTATTGCTCCCATTCTAGAAGACATGTTGCCATAAAAGAAAGTTGTCCTTACAAAACAGAACCCAAAAAGAGCTTCACGTTTTTGTGAGTTTAGAGAAATAATGTCAAATCACTCCATTCGAGAATATTTCAGTGCAGTAAAAAGAGAATATCTGAATGCTTCCTTTTTTTTTTTTAAAGATTTTATTTATTTATTTGACAGACAGAGATCACAAGTAGGCAGAGAGGCAGGCAGAGAGAGAGGAAGGGAAGCAGGCTCCCTGCCGAGCAGAGAGCCCGATGCGGGACTCGATCCCAGGACCCTGAGATCATGACCTGAGCCGAAGACAGCGGCTTAACCCACTGAGCCACCCAGGCGCCCATCTGAATGCTTCCTTAACACAATTTCAAAGTGGGACTTTTCTTGGCTTCAATAAAGGCATCTTTGAAGACAGGCTTATAATCTTGCTCCTGACTCATTTATAGGTGTATAAAATTTTAATCATTATTTTTCACAAGAATTTGCCAAAGGTAGCATCATTTATCTAAAGCATCTGAAACAACTAAATCCTATAGTGGGCTATGTCTTTTTTGCCTTAGGAGTCAGGACCTTGAGAATATTAAATTCAAAGAAAACATTCCTTAAGTGAGACTTTTTCTTGGCCTTCAAAATGTTGCTAGCAAGCACTTCACTAACTACAAGATTGCTTCCAATCTTAAGGGAAAACTCATACTCTAGTAGGTTTTTGGTTGGGGGGGGGTTGTTGCCTTAAAGAAAAGAAATGTATGTTTTTTTTCTTTCATTGCTACCGACTCACTCTGCCTTAAATTTCCCTGAACTTCATGCTCGTCTTCCAGCCAGCTGGGCTCAGAGCCATGGAGAGAGTCATGCTGGTCTTTCTCTTCTCCTTGAACTAGGAGCACATTTTCTAATTCATGCGTTGATACCATAGAGACTGGCAATTGCCCTTATGCTTTCATTCTATGTCTTAAGTTCCAACTTTTGTTGCTATTTCCCCTTTGATACAAACCATCCTTTAAGATAATGCTTTAACCTTCAAAACAAGGGAAGGGGGGCTCCTGGCTGGCTCATCGGGTTAAAGCCTCTGCCTTTGGCTCAGGTCATAATCCCAAGGATCCCAGGGCCCTGGGATCAAGCCCCACATCAGACTCTCTGCTCAGTAGGAGCCTGCTTCCTCCTCTCTCTCTGCCTTCCTCTCTGCCTACTTGTGATCTCTGTCTGTCAAATAAATAAATAAAATCTTAAAAAAAAAAAAAAAAGACAAGGGAAGGGCTATTTTTTACCCCTGATTTGGTAATTAATTTCCAGCTTTATTGCATTGTAATCAGAAAATAAAGTATTTCTACCTTTTGAAATTGATCTTTTCTCTTTAGCTTAATTATCAGTGTTCATTTGTGTTTCATGGCTACTTGAAAATTAATGTATTTTTTATTATTGTGCTTGTGGCTTTTGATGCTTTTGGACATAAATCTAATAGTACCTTAGCTTTTAATTTTTATGGAAACTGTTTTAAAGATGGCTTGCTCAAGAGACTGACATAATTTTTTTCCCTCAAAAGAGGATTTAAATATTTCCTTCCTCCTTACAAGTTAAATGAATTTCAAATAATGTTTCTATTAATTTTATTGAAATTTGAGTTTACTGTAGATCCTGAGAGATATCTGGAGTGGGATGCCTGGGTGGCTCAGTCAGTTAAGTGTCTGCCTTTGGCTCAGGTCATGATCCCACGGTCCTGGGATTGAGCCCCCTCCTTTGGCTCCTTGCTCAGTAGGGAGACTTCTCCCTCTCCTTCTGTCCCCAGCTTGTGCTCTCTCTCACCCTTCCTGCCTCTCTGACAAATAAATAAATAAAACCTTAGAAAAAAAGATATCTGGAGAAATTTCTTCTTTCTTTTTTTTTTTTTTATTGACCAATATTCTCAGTGGGTAACTATGAATATTAAACAGATTTAGATTATCTTACAATTGTTGTCCACTAAGTTTCCAATAGCTTAATGACTTATAAAAAAGAAATGCTGCAATGAGTCTGTCAGAGAAAGACAAATACCATATGATTTCACTTATGTGTGGAATTTAAGAAACAAACAAACGAGCAAGGGGAAAAAAATAAGAGAGAGAGAGAAGCCAAGAAACAGACTCTTAACTACAGAGAACAAATTATTGCCAGAGGGGGAGGTGAATGGGGGCATGGGTGAAACAGGTGATGGGGATTAGAGAGTACACTTGCTGTGATGAGCACTGGGTGTTGTATGGAAGTATTGAATTATCATAACATACACCCGAAGCTAATATTACATGTATGTTAACTCTACTGGAATTAAAGTAAAACATTTTTTAAAATGCAAAAAGCTGTTCCTAAAATATTAGAAGAAAACTTGTATAGAATTTTCTCTTTCTTTAAAACCAGTTTGCCTTCGGGCAGCTTGGTGGTTCAGTTGGGTAAGCGTCTGCCTTCAGCTCACAGGATCCTGGGACTGAGCTGTGCGGCTGGCTCCCTGCTCTGCTGGGAGACTGCTTCTCCCTCTACCTCTCTCTCTCTCATGAATAAATGAATAAAATCTTTAAAAAAAATGGTTACAATGATCAATAAAAAGTAAAATCAAATCAGTTTGTCTTAACAAAAGCATAACTCATATCTCCGTATGCATGCTGTCAATAGGTCTTACTCCTGGCAATGTTAACCTTGGTCACTTCATTAAGTGGTATCTGCTGGATTTATCCACCATAAAGTTACTCTTTCCCTTTGTAATTAACAAATATCACAGAGAGATTTTTTTGACACCATGAAATTGTTCTGTTTCTTCTAAAACTTTTGCCCGTACAACATAATTTTAGTGTGCAGAGGTGGATTTTTTTTTCTGCAACAATTATTACAGTGGTGATCTATTTAATGGTGATTTTCTATTTCTGTCATTCCTTTCATATGTGTTGATTGGAATTATTTTGTAAAGAAGAGCTGTCTCTTTTCCTGTATTTACTTATTCATTCATTCATTCAAATACGTATTTATATACATATGGACTCACAGATATTTATTTTATTTGGGGGCTTACAATTGAATACTATAATTTATTTTCTTGCTCAAATACATAAGAATAATTTTAATTTGATGAAAAATTTGTGGTATAATAAAATATATTTTTATTTTGCCTAATTGTTCTAGTTGTTCAGTAGTTGCATTTTGTTTTGAACCCAAAGCAAAAGCTGAATAATTCGGACTATTAAAGATCTTTATACTCACAGGGAATCTAGGCAGGGTGTTATTTTAAACATAATGACCTGTATGATTGCTTTTATACGTAGTAGTGTACTTGCATCTAGTTAGAGGAAAAATTATCTGAAAGTGTGAAATTTTTATTCAAACAAGCTAAACACAGATATAACTGGATAGGTATAGTCGTGTTCTTCTGCACGGGCTCTTTTCTTGGACCACCAGGTGGTGCTGTTGGCTTTCAACATCACAGAAATCATTGGGGGGGGTGGTGTTTGTTTTTTTAGTCTTTTCAATATCCAACTCAGAATTAATGATACTGCAGAAATAGTCTCATCCACAGTTTTCTTTTTTTTTCTCCCAGAATTTGAGAGTGGTGATTCTACGTGATTTGCCCTGAGTTACAGCTAGTTTTGATGAGACCTGAGATTGGAGTTAAACGAGCAGGGAAAGCAGGTTCTGCAGATTAAGAGGCTGTGGAAGAATTTTTAAATATCTAAGTGTTACATGAGAAAGAGGTTATGTGGAAAAGCAGGTTTTCAAAGCTGATGAGACTGGCTTGTTTTACAAGATTTTGGCAAACAAACCTGTGTAACACGAATGACATTTCAGATGGGCAAAAATGTGACTAGAGACTCACAACAATCTAACCTTGTATTTCCCACAAAAGCAATAGTTTAGTATTTGCTAATTCAATGTTGGCAGTGACTTTATAGAACATTACTGCAAAGGATAAGATTTGGTTATATATAGAAATAACAACAAAAAAGTGAAAAACTTACATTCTGAAAACTACAAAGTATTGTTGAAAGAAGTTAAAGAAGATCCAAATAGGGTACCTGGGTGGCTCAGTTGGTTAAGCGACTGCTTTTGGCTCAGGTCATGATCCTGGAGTCCCAGGATCAAGTCCTGGGTCCTGCGTCAGGCTCCCTGCTAGGTAGGGAGTCTGCTTCTCCCTCTGACCCTCGGCCTTCTCATGCTCTTTCTCTTTCTCATTCTCTCTCTCTCAAGTAATAAAATCCTAAAAAAAAGAAGATCCAAATAAATAGAAAAAAAAATCTCATGTTCATGGATTTGAAGACTTGACATTGTTAAGATAGCAATACTTCCCAAATTGATCTACAAAGTCAGTACAATCTCTTTCAAAACCCCAGCTCCCTGTTTGGCAGAGATTGACAAGCAGATCCTAAA